TGTGTGTGTGTGTGTAATAGAAAAATCTCAGGTGTAGTTTCTCAGGTACTGTTCACCTTTGTCGCCCCAGTGCTGGGATTACAAGGCCATGCCACCACACCCAGCTTTAAGAAACTGTATTTATTTATTTACTTCTGACCCAGGTTCTGGGAACTAAGTTTAGGTCCTTGTGTATGCAAGGCAACACTTCATCGGTTGTGCCACCGCCCCAGCTTCATAGGTTCATACACTTGGTGTAGGCATGGGTGTTTGTATGTGTGTGGGGTGTGCATGTGTGTATGTGTGTGTGCAGGTGCCATGGAAGCCAGAGGACACTGAGTGGCATCCTTTATCACTCTCCACCTTATTCCCTTGAGACAGAGTCTGCCACTGACCCTGTCACCAAGCTCCAGCCACCTCCCATCCCCCAGCACTAGGGTTACAGATGCCCATGGCCATGTGTGGCTTTTTACCTGGTTACTTGGTTTTGAACCCAGGTCCTCACGCTTATGCAGAAAGTACCCTTGTCTACTGAGTCATTGCCCCAGCTCCGGGTTTAGATATATTTTAAGGGCAATTAGGGGACACTATGTTTTAGGGAGTGAGGTCTAAGTTTTTTTTTTTTAGGGAGCTTATTTTTCTACTTAAAACCATGTTTTTGAAAGACTCTTCCTATTTTCCAGGGAAGAAAATAAGAACATGAAAGATGAGACACAGAACTGAGTTAGAGGAAATTGCCCCCTGTCTGTTGGCCAGAGATATGACTGAACTGGCTCTTGCCAGGATTAATTTTGAGTTATACCTGGTGATAAGGAGCAGAGTGAGTTGAGGAAGAAGGACCAGAACCAGAGGGGGCAACTGCTAGCTCCTGTGAAGGGAACTGGGCCTGTGAGGCCAGCTGGGGTAGATCCTTTTCACATTGATGAAGGATTTGTCAAAACCAACTTAAAGGTGGAAGAGCTGATTTCGGCTCACAGTTTGAGGGACAGTCCATCTTTCTGGGGAAGCCATGGCAGCGGGGGTGTGAGGCAGCTGGTCACAGTGCTTCTACAGTCAGGAAGCAGAGAGGTGAATGCTGATGGATTTATTAGGCTGGTTTATAGACTGTGGTCTGAGTGGCCCAACAATGGCAGGAGTTGTTCAGTCCATGCAACTGGATATCTCAGTAGTCTCAGTCTGGCATTGGAGTCCTAGAGGATCCCTGGAGAGCTGCTGGTCTTCAGTGTGCATTGGATTCCCAGTTCTAACACAGGTGAAGGACAGCTTCAGCAGCAGAGTAGATGAACTTGCCAGCAAGAATGAGGACAAGCAGGCAGAAAGCTTCCATCTCCCATGTCCTTTTGTGTGGACGGCCTCTAGATGATGTGGCTCAGATTTAGGGTGTGAGTTTCCACTGCAAATAATTTGATTAAGAAATCCCTCAAAGGAGTGTCCAGCCGCTTGGGCTTTAGTTGGTTCCAAATGTAGTTAAGTTGACAACTAAGATTAGTTCTTACAACTCTCTCCTTTTTATCCAGTCTGGGAACTACAGTCCATGGAATGATGCCACCCAGTGGAATGTCTTCCCACCTTAGTTAACAAGTCTAAAGACTCCCTCATGGACATGCTCAGAGGTTTGTCTCCTAAGTGATCCTAGATTATGTCAAGTTGATGGTTCCTATTACTCAACGAAGCAGCCACCGATAATATTCTGTGTAAACTCTGTGTGTTGGTTCAGTCTGTTAACTTGGTTTGAATTCTCCAACCCAGGCAGGTTTCAGTAGATGAAGGCACTCTTCCCCGACCTGGGGAAGAGACAGTGTGGGTAGGAAGCTGACTTTGAGCCTGCAAAAGGCAGTGTGGAGAAAAGGAAGCAGCATCCTGGAGCCTGCCAGTGCAGGGGACAAACATGGCCCTGGGGATCAGTGCCACCAGGAATAGAGTGAGCTGGTGGGGGCAGGGTCTCAGCTTCCTGTGTTTGGAGGCTAAGGGGAGGTGTGGCCCCCTGAATCTGCACAGCCTGGAGTGAAGAGCAACTGTGTCTAGCACAGACTGTGCTAGTGTCTTTATCAACTTCTCAGTTCAGGGAATACGGATAAATGAATGACAATGCCTATCTTCTAGGATTCTCCCCCAAAAATTGACCCACAGAAATAACCTAATACATAGAGGCTGTTAATGTCATCCTTGCTAACCCCAGGAATGCTGGGAAAGGGGGTTTAGAGCATTAACAAAGACCCCCTACAAATGTTTGTCAGAATCACCCCAGGTGTAGGAAGAGAAGCATTCTTCGTACCTCAGGACTCTGAGTGGAGAGATCCCACTGAAGTGGTCAGCCTGGCCCTTCCCTACGAACTATGGAATCTTACAGTAAGTAGCATCTCTCAGCTCCAAGTCTCACTTCCCAGAGTTGACTCTGTTAGGGTCCACAGATCACCCCACAAAACAACCACCACTCACGTATGCAAAAGCAAGAGCATTTATTTCTCAAGAGAAGAATTCCTGCATGCAGGGGTCAGCCACACAACAAAATGGTGATGACCCCCAGAGAAGCTCGAAGGCTCCTTTTATAGACAGCCAGGTGGGGATTAGGTCATCCTAAACATGCTGGCCAAGGGAGTAGCAGCCACACTAATATGTTTCTGATTGGCTGGGGCTGTACGTGTTGAATCATGCCTGGTACACAGTATCTCCCTCACCTGCCTTATCAGAAACCAAAACTGAAACAGAAGCTGTGACCCAAACAGAAACTGAAACTTCACTGAAACTCAGGCCTAGTAGAGGTTGGAGAAGTCCACCATGGTGCTACTGTGGCCTCTCAATTCAAGCAAGAGGACTGACATAGAAAACTACTGGAAACTGGTGCGGTGGGCTGAGCCTACACTGCCCTCACCCATTCTCTTCCAAGTTGACTTTGGTGGGAGCATCTTCAGAAGTCCCTCACAGTATGCCCTGAGCCTCCCTCTAGTTCCTTCCTTGGGCATACTCCTGTACCTCTAGCTCCTTCCTTGGGCATACTCCTGTACCTCTAGCTCCTTCCTTGGGCATACTCCTGTACCTCTAG